AGACTGTTATAATACACATACATTTATCGTACTACTAATATTTTCCTTTTATTTAATAGCTGAAACAGTTAAATTTAACTTTAATATGCTAAATATATTTCTAAAATAAATGCAATTAGTGACAACTACCAGAACAAACGCATTAGTTCTATAATTTGACATTGATTCGATGTTAAATGAGAGACATCCGACAAAATTACAGAAGTTTACAGAAGAGACATTTTGAATTAATGCGTTCTTTATCAGTGTATATTATCTATAAACACTGACAATCAGTCAAAATGCAGTTTTAATCATTATCTGTGCATCCATCAGGGTCTGTTAGTATTATTTCAGATGATGCAGTGTTGCTCTACCGTCTCACAGTTTATTTATTAGTTATTTAGGATCCAGTTCATAGTCCACAAAAAAGCAAATTCTGAGCAGAATCTGAATTTTTTCCTAACTGACACGGCCCATCCTCCCTTTCTCTCTATGTACATTTGATATTGCGTAAAAATTAACACTAGAAAATTTATTTTAACTCGAGGACACTATGGGAGTGTTCTCCAGCTGCTGGAATATGACAGTTGCACTGCCTTAAACCTGGTCTGATCCCTGCCTCTGTACATCTCTTGCCACCAGTAGATGTACGACCCTCTGCTATCATTAACACACATTAACAGCCTGATAACTCTCTGGACGTGTCCAGCTCCGCTCCGAGACCTCACATGTCTCTTTGTTCCGTCCGCTCGCTGCTGCAGAAGGAAAATGGACCTTCGCCGGCGTGTCGGAGCCGATCGGACAAAGAGCCTCACTCATGGAGACATTTCAGAGAGTCTCTCCAACTTATCTCACACAATGGAAGCTCAGTGCTGCTCCGCTGAGCGACAACGCTGCCAAAACACACCGAGGGAGGCCGGCGGAGCAACACGGCTCTCAGGACGACACGGGCCCACTTCAGCGCACTTAGTGGTGAACTGCTGCCTGATAAAGCTGCAGCTGTTGAGAGGTTAAATTACAGCACATGGATGATGTGATGCAAACAGCAGAGCTCTGCAGGGACACCGCAGTGGAACCACAAGTTTACAGACACTGTATAAAAAGA